ATGGGGGGGGGGGGGGGGGGGGGGCGGGGGGAAGCGTACTCAGAAACAGCGATTGGTTGACAAACTCGGCCCTGAACCGCATAGCTGTGGAGGTGTGTGCTAGTGTGTGCGTGTCTGTGACTGTGTATGTGTGTATGTGTGTGTGTGTGCGTGTGTGCGTGTGTGTGGCAGGAGTGGTGTGGTGCGCGGCGACTCGGCGACTCGGCGACGTGTGTGGGGAGCAAATTGGCGGGCGACGAAGGAGGCTCATGCGTGTTATTGGCGGCACAGCGCCGAGTCCATCACACGCAGATAGTGTGGCATAGGTCGTCTAGTCTCGAGTCGAGCTCGAATCGAGGATCGAGGCCGGGTCCGAGTCAGAGGCTGGGATCGAGGCCGGGTCCGAGTCAGAGGCTGAGGCCGAGAGAGACTGAGCACTCGAGCTCGAGCTGCTGGCGCCCACATCGGCATGATGGGGAGCGGATACAGGGTCAGACGGCGGTAGGCCTGGTGGCGGGCCAGGGCCGAGGAGCGAGGCGCGCTCGGTGGCCCATTGGGAAGCGGCGCGCTGGTGATGGCTGCGCCATTGTGAGCACGCGTGCTTCCACTGCGCGGCGTCAGCCTGCGCAGCCTCCAGCCGAGCCTCGAGGCTGGCCACACGGTCGGCGTGGAGGAGTGGGCCAAGGACGCGGGCGGCAGAGTCGTAGACTCGCGATGCCGGCGAGCCTGCGTCCAGCTCCGTTACCGAGAGGCCGGTCGGGATCGAGTTGATCATGCCGCGAAGGAAGAGGGTAAAGGCGGTCTTGATGGCGAGACGATCCACAACTGCTACCCCGTGGGCAAGCTCAACGTTGCGGATCCACGCTCCGGGCGTAATGTCGAGCAACGCGTACGAGCGCAACAAGAGGCGGACGACCGGGGTGTGGCCAAAGAACGCCGCGATCCGCAGCGGGGTAAAGCCCGACGCGTCGCGCGCAAGGATGTTGACCCGCCGCGACTGCAGGAGCCGATACATCAAGTGAACTTCGCCACAAAACGCGGCAAGATGCAGCGCTGTCACACCAGCGGCACAGTATAGCGTGCCCAGCGAGGAAAGCGTGTTGTCAAGGAGCGACTGCAGCGCACAGAGGAGCGCAAGGTGACCGCCGCTCGCGCGGCGCGCAATGTTACGCGCAAGCAGCGCAAAGTACACCGCATACCGCGGGCTCTCGCCGTACCGCCGCACGTATTTGGCCATCCCAAGCATGGCGTCATCGTCGACCCAGGTGACCATACTCTCGGGATCGACGCTGGCCACCGCCACGTCGGTCCGGGAAATCGCCACCTGCGTCAGCGGCGGCGCAAAGGCCGGCAGTGAGCCGGGTGCCGGGACAGCGGTAGCAGACGCCGGCGCAAGACTGGCTCTGCCCGTCGCGACAGCCGGTGGCGCAGTCATCTCGAACGACGGCTCGAGTGACGACGACGGTTCCTCCATCTCGGCAGCCTCTTCCATGTGGTTGTCAAAAACGGCAAAGGCCGGAAAGCTAGCACCGTCGCCGACAGGTGTGCTTCCGGGCGTGCTTTCCGGCGATTGCGCCAAGCTTGGCGACGCCGGCTCATCGTCGCTGGGCCCGGCGGTCGCCAGCTCGCTGCCACCGTCGACTCGCGTCAAGCGCGCGGCGCCCGACGCAATTTGACCGGCATTGTCGAACTCTTCGCCAACGTCGAGTGCTAGAGTCGTGGCGCGTGTCCACGCGACCAGAGCCACCGGATCGTCGTCGTCGGCGGTCATGAGGCCGGCGACTGACGGCGGGACCTCAACAGAGTCGCGGAGAAGTGTCGCCGGGTGCCGCCGCCACGCCTCCCACAGCGAACGATACATGGCATGGGTGTTGGGCGGGTCACTCGTCCGCAGGTAGACCGACTTGCCGTTTGCCACTATCTCGATGAGCGCCAGCAGTAGGTCTGCGCCTCCGCGCTGGAACGAGGCCCCCAGCGGGTCGCGGGCAGGCTCGCCGCGAAGCCCGGCAGCAACGTCGACGTGTTTGCCGGTCGTGTGGTACCAGATTGCGGTCACGTCGGCGAGATCAACTCGCTTCCGGCAGCGTTTGGCTAGGGCAGCTCCCGCGCCTGGTGCAGCCTCATCGACTGCTACAAGCACGCCGCCCGGCGAGACAATGCCCGCCACCGCCGGAAACTCACCAGGCGACCGGAATGCCAGCACCGCGCCGGCGGTGGCCACCAAGTATCCCGCCCGCCAGCGGGCCTTGGACGAGACAAGGCCGACCGTTTCGACATGGCCGAGAGTGTGGACCTTGCCCGAGTTTTGTTGATACGTCTCTGCATACGCCGCCAGCGCCGCTGCCGCCAGGCCGTCGCCATCTCTGGCCGCGGCATCGGATTCACCCGGTGGATCGGACTCGTGATGAGTTGAAGCCTCGGCGGGAGGACCACCCTCAGCAGGTGCGGCGGAAACAGGCTCGGCAGGAGCTGGGTCGGGCGGCTCGGAAGGCGGTGGCCTGATCCATGACGTGTCGGCGAGTCTGGTGTCCATGGCGGCAGATGTGTACTCTGTACTGTGCGTGTGGGTGAGTGGAGTGGTTGGGTGTGGGAGTGGTTGGCGTACTGTGTGTGGGGGCGGGGACAGGGGGGGGGACGCTGCGGCGGCATTGACGGCGTTGGTGGCAGACAGGCAGACAGACAGGCGGGTGCTTTACTCGCTGGCATCGCTATCGGCAGACGCACCATCGGCGTCGGCGTGCTGCGAGAGAGTGGTGGCGAGCCGGGTTGGGTGGTGCTTGAGGAGCATGACGGGCTTGGCCACAAGCGACTTGAGGAGGCCGAGAACCTGGGCCTGGAGCTCGAGGACCGAGGGCATCGAGTCGAGATCGGCAGCAGCCTTGGCATCGAGGACGGCACCATCGACAAAGCCGCCGACAACAAGGGCACCCGGCGCCATCTTGGCGACAACCTTGAGCGCGTCCTTGAAACCAGGGCTCAGATCGGAGGCATACAGCAGTGCGGTCGGGCCGAGTAGCAGCGAGGCGAGGGCCGAGCCAGGGCCGGCCTCGCCGACTCCGGCCGCCTTGTCCGACGACTGGAGCACCGAGCGAGCAACCGAGTTCTTCAGCAGCAGCAGCTTGGCGTCCGGATGCGCAGCTGCGCGGATGGCCTCCAGCTGGCTCCGCTTGAGCGAGTTGACCTGGACCAGCAGGGCGACGCCGGCCGAGTCAAAGGCCTCGGCCGTCGACTGCCAGAGGAACTGCTTGCGCTCCTGGATAGCACGCCCGTGTGGCGAGGCTTTCGGGCTTGCCGCCGGCGTTGGCAACGTCCGCAGCGCAGCCGCAGCTACCGTCGCTGCCGACAAGCTGCTCTCGCCTCCGCTAGCTCCTGCCCCTGCCGATGCCGCGCCAGACATGCCCGCCAGCCAGACCGTGGATGTGACCCGAGGCGCGAGCCGGCCCAGCGAGGGGGCGAACGCGGCAAGGCGGAACATTATGTGTGTATCAGGAGAGAGATGATGCGTGAGGCTTGGGTGTGGGTCGCGTGCCGGTGGAAGGGGAAGGGGGCAGGCGTGGGTGGCGTGTGGAAGGCTATGGGTATTGGCGAGTGTGTGGTGAGTGGAGGACGACGGGCGTCAATCGATCGCAGCCGTCATCTTTTGGCTGTGGCTGATTGCCTGCTGCTCGCGGACAGGGCCGTAGCCTCGGACTCACCAATGACTATGCGGATCGTTCGTTATTTACTTGGGTGGTTTGCCGCGAAAAATGGTCTCCCTGAGTACTATCACCTGCTTGTGCGCGTGTTGATGATGTTGATCATCACGTTGTCGACCTCGATCATGGGCCTACGAACAGCGTATTCACGGCTACCTGCAGCAACAGGTCTCCCTCTCTGCCCGCTCCTTCTCCATCCCCGTGTGCAGCATGTGGTGATTGTTCTGCGGCAGAGTGCAAATCAACATGCCCAGCATTGGCCCAACGCATGCTGGCGCATGCGGCAATTCACCATTTCGCCCTGGTTTCGCTGCTGTCATGACCACCGCCATCAGAGTCAAGCAAGCCGCCGCAGAGCCGCTACACAACAGGCTACCAATCGCAACTTGCACCATGACTAGCCAGCACGGAGCAAGTTTGATTGGATGCAATGGCGTGCGATGGGCATTGGCAGCTACTTGGGCATGCTTGCGGAAGAAAAAGGTGATGTGAACTCCCCTACTCAATCCCACGAATTTGTTGCGTATCGGTCAAGAAGGCGGGCGGATGTTCGAGTGCAAGCGGGTGACAATGGCCAGCGAGTTCGGTTCACTTGACGTGTGGGGGAGGGGGATACAGACGTTTTCGTCGCCAAGTCACAAGTATCCCGAGCAAGTACAAGCCACAACTACCAGGGTCTGTGTCTGGTACCTGTGACGCCTCGGTCGTTCCCTTTTCCCGCCCTTCCAACTCGCCCTAGGTGGCCGGCGGTCAATTGACCTCGGTTGGACGGAGTAGCGTTCGTTTGATCGTCACCACCGCCAACACCACCGCCACCGCTGCAGCAGCCACCGACGCCACCCACGGCAAAAGTGCAAGGCATATGCTCTCCGCCAACCGGGTAGCGCCAGAGCCGCGACGGACGACATCGTCTATGGAATCGACAGGTACATTGGGTGCCAATGTCGGTGGCGACAGCCGGAGAATGTCGGCGGGAGGCCGGCCCCAACGGGCGTCGCTGGGCGGTCGAGCCTCCCAGCTGCGCCACCGGAGGCGGTCGTCGCTTACAGGCGCCTCGGCTTCAGCTCTGCCAGCATCGGGCGACTTGGTCATCCACCCGGCATTTGAATCATACACCTTGCTGAAAGACTCGGGCCTGGTCCCGGCAACTGGCAACCTGACGTCGTCACCGTCGGCCCGTGGCCTCTCGCGTGAGCCGCAAAACGCAAGCGCCAGGCGATGCTTCAACTCGCACTACACTCGGCGGCACTTTCTTGGCACACTGCTGTCGATTATCGAGCGGCCTCGGTTGCGGCCATACTTTGTGTACTACGTTCAGGTCCGGTTCTTCCCCATTCTTTGGCTCTTCCTCGACTTTTTCCAGATGACCATGTTCAACAACGTGCTCCGCATCGAGTACTCGCTCTCTTGCAACGCCAAACCGCTCTCTTCTGAGATGGCCGACGAGCTGCGGTCGGTGCTCTTTTTCTGGATATCGCTCTCGGCAGTCATAGTTGGCGTTCTCATCGTCATGTCGCTCTGGTTCCTTGTCGGGACCCGCCTGCCCAAGGTTTTGGTCAACCTTATCGGCTCGTACGTCAACGTTATCTCGACCTTTCTCTACACCTTTATTCTCCGTCACCTGTGGCAAGAGGCCATGTGCCACGTCGCGCACTCGGGCATCGACGCCAAGCAAGAGTGTGATACCGCCGACGGGCAGCTATTCCTCATTCTCGCGCCGCCGGTCACGCTCTACTTTCTGCTTGCCTCACTTGTCCTTGCCCTCAACTCGTACGAGGTCGATCCCAACGCGACGCACATTCTGCGCCGCGAGCACGGCCTCTTTGATGTGTTGTATATTCTGGGCAAGACCGTCATTGTGGCGGTCTCGTTTGCCAACTCGGGCTTTCTGCGCGCTCTCTGCAACCTCGCTGTGTTCTCGCTCCTCTTTACAGCCATGGCCACCCTCGCTCCTCACCACGTCTCGTTCATCAACCGGCTGCGGACTGGCCTGCACCTCGGCATGGTGCTCTCTGCGGCGACGGGCGTGGTCAACGAGGCGCTGCCGACCTGCTCCTCGCTCCCGTCGCTTCTATACTACATTGTCCTCATCCCGGTCGTTCTCCTCGGCGCCATGGTCAACGTGCCCGACTCGATCCGGTACCGGGTGACCAAAACGCTGTACAAGCCGTTTTCACCGCTCGTCATGTCGTCAATCCGCTCCATCATGGAGCTCAAGCTGACGTACCTGCTCGTCTCAGCAACTCGCCTTGGCCAGGTTGCCTACGAAATCGAGGTCGACGATCCCGGCACGGCCGAAAAATTCTACCTGCGGGCACACATGGCCGACCGGAACCACGTGACCAACCTCGGCCGCTACGCCTTTCATCTCGTACGCACCTCGGGCTCCAATACCAAGCGGCGGCAGCGGAAGGCGGTCCAGCTCTTTAAGCGCGCGCTCGCCATCGACAAGAACAACGCCGAGGTCCTCGCGCTCTACGCTGTCTACCAGACCCTCATCGAAAAGTCGGACGTGGAGGCCGACCAGCTCTACCGGCAGTCCGTCCAAGTCACCCGCGAGTCGTCGTCTCTCCGGCGGCACTTTTCGTCGCGCAACAAGGTCTGCTCATCATCGACGAGCATGGCATGACGCGCGAGTGCAACGCGCTCGTCCTTCGCATGTTCTGCGCCACCACGCGTGACGCCTTTCTTCGCATTCCGCTCTTTTCACTCTCGCCTTTGGCCCAGACCGCCGGCACGTCAGCAGTTCTCGCCCAGTCCCACATCGCCGAGGCTATCGCGGCGCCCGGCCATGTGACTCGCTTCGAGTGGGAGTTCACCCGTCTCGACTCGGGCACGCTCGTCACCGAAGTCGCCCTCACTGCCATGCCCGAAAAGGTCAAGGGCAGGACGCTGCTCCAGGTCTCGATCACCGACGTCTCCTCCACCGGGACCATGCAGGACCGGAACTCCAAGCTCGCTGTCCTTCTCGCCACCATGTCCGACGGCGTCATTATGGTCGGTGACGACGGCATGATCATGGACCTGAACCCGTCGGCGCTCATGATGCTCAACTTGTACAACATCAACGATGTCATCAACACGCCGTTCCTCTCACTCCTCGACATGCGCGCCACCCGCGCGTTCAACGACCGCAAGGTTTCTGTCAACACCTCCGTTTTTCTGGCTCATCAGGCACCAAGGGCGGTGCCACGACTGGCGGCGGCGGCGGTGGCGAACTTCTTCGCTCGCCCCCGTCTGGCAAGTCACTCAACCTCTCGGCAGCATCGATGGTTTCGCACGATGTGTCCGAGGCCCAAGAGGAGGTGGAAGAAGTCACTCCATGTTCCGACCTCCGCTCAGCAGCGTCGATCTCAGAGCAACTTGAGACTGTCGAGCTCAACGAACGGTCGTCGTCGTCATCACCATCGCCGTCATCGTCGCTCGTTGTCGACTCGGACAACACTGACACCTCGTCACCATCGACGGTAGTGCGCTCTCACCAGCGGTCAGCGAGTCAGCGGCGGCCGCTCCGCCGAAAGATGTCGAACACGTCGAACACTTCGCGGCGCAAAGACTCGCTTGGTGCCGATCCCCGTCTCGACGACAAGCGACAGCGGGTCAAGCCGCTCAAGCTCAATGCCTCAGCCTCGGCGGCTCGCGAGCCGGTCTCCGTCTCGCCGCGAGCAGTCAGCGGGCGGCGGTCGTCGTCGCGCAAGGGCCGACGGACACCATCAAGAACCCTCGGCCCTCGTCCGGCAACAGGCGTGGCACAAACCGAACGATCCGATGCATGTGCCCGCTCTTACGGCTCGCTCCTTGCCGCCATCGAAAAGTCGGGCTCGGCGCAGTCGCTCATCTCACCATCGTCGGCGCAGCCGTCGCCTAGATCGCTGACACACACCAAGCGCGGACCGTTTTCGTCGAACCGACGCAAAGCGTCGCTCTCGCCGGCGCTGGCAGCGTCCATGACCAGCTTGGCTGCAGGCGCTACCAGCCCATCGGGAGTGCTGAGCGACGGAAGTGTTGCCGGTGGCGGCGAGATGCGCCCAGGTGACGACGTCGTCTCGCTCGGGTTCTCAGCGCGGTCGGGCGTGCCATCGGAGGCCTCATTTGACTCGACCATGTCGGGCGCAATGTCCCCGGCCAAGTCTCCTCGGTCGCCGGCCGATGCTTTGCGCGAGGGTGAGGGCCGCCGGTTCCTCAAGGTCTTCCGCTCGGTCATGGGCCAGACAGTTACGGTCTACATCAAGCAGTCGTCGACTGCACCTGGGGGATGGCCAAGCCGATCAAGGTGGAGATGTCGATGTCGGAGGTCCACCTCTCGACCTCGCAGCATAAGCGGGTCTTTACAGTTGTCTTTCGCGACTTGCGGTTCGAGGAGCAGCTGGCCAACCAGGAGGACATGTATCGCTGGCTCACCGCGCATCTTGCGGAGCAGCCACCTGGCATTGTTGTCTTTGACGTCATTACGCACTCAATCGGCGAGTTTAACTCGTCGGCCTCGGTTCTCCTGCGGCTTTCGCCCAAGCGCGCGCTAGAGCGCACCATCATCGAGCTTTTTGCGGACGACGACGGTCAGACGCTGGTCCAGTCGATTCTGGCCTCCAACGGCGAGGACGTCCACTGTGACTTGCTTGCCATCGCCGAGGACGAGTCTTTGGTGCCAGTCAACGTGGATGTCAAGCACGTGGTTCTTGACGCCGGCCACATAGCCATTGCGTACCTCACGCCACGCCAGGTCGGCAAACGTAGTTCGCGCAAGCGTTGACGCGAGCGTTGGCGAGTAAATCGGATTGACGTCACTCATCGAGCGGCTGCACGTTAGCCAGTTCAACGTCGTCCTCGTCGTCGTAGCCGTCAAAGACAACCGTAATCACTTGTTCGTTGGCGTAGGTAGCGACTACTTCGGCCGGATACAACAGACCGTCGCCATCGTACACGGCCAGGACACGGTCGCCAGGCACAAATACGTCGGCAGAGACAACGACGGCGGTCTCAGCGTCGACGCCGCAGTCGCTCCCGGCAGAGTCGAGGGAGTCTGACGAAAGTGCGTCGCGATCGTCGAGAAGCTTGCTGCGGCGGGCGTTGCCGCGCAAGTGAGCCTGGAACAGCTGGGCAGTAGCAGCCCGGGCACTGGCATCGTCGTCAAGCAGCTCGTGGCGGAGCGAGTTACCGCGGAGCTGGGCTTGTAGAGTGGTGGCTGCAGACGTGATGCGGGGCGCTTGCGGGAGGTCAGCAGGCTCAGGATTGGTCTCGCTAGGGTCCAATTCAGAGTCGAGGAGCGCCTTGCGACGTGCGTTGCCTCTCAGCGTGGCCTGGAGCACGTAGACAGCCTTGCTTCTCTGCGCAGCAGCGCGGGCGGAGGCTTGCGCGGCGCGAGAAGCTGCGGTCCTCTCCCGCTTGGCACGGAAGACAGCCTGGATACGTGCAGCAGCAGCGGCCTTTTCGGCAAGGTCGGCCTGGACAGCGGGGCGGACTCGGGCCTCAAACACCGGCAGATATGGTGCTGGCATGAGTGTAGCTAGAAAAGCCGCCACATGGGATGGCGGGAGCGGAAAATCGAGCCCAGACGCGACATCAGGGGTTTTGCGCAGGCCAGCATCGAGAAGGAGATGAACATACTCGTCGGAGCACGCATCAGTGTCGGCAAAGTTGAGATCAGTGACCAAGTCGGCGAGCGCACCAAGCGTCGAGGTCCGCCACGCGCGAACGGCGTGGCCGCGGTAGACAGCCTGGATCCTGGTGGCGGCAACTGCCTCGTCAGCTTTCCGGACGCGACACGCTTTGCGTACGGCATGGCCACGGTAGGCGGCCTGGATCCTGATGGCGGCGACCGCCTCGTCGGCCTGCCGGACGCGGCGCGCCTTGCGCACGACATGGCCGCGGTACGAGGCCTGAATCTTGGTGGCAGCAGCAGCACGGGCGGCAGCAAGGGCAGCAGCCTCGGCTTCAGCATCGGCCTTGGCCTTGGCCCGCGCTTCTGCTGCGGCCTTGGCCTTTGCACGTGCGGCGGCGATAGCGGCGGCCTCGGCCTCGGCCTCTGAGCGTGCGTTAGCCTTTGCCTCTGCACGTGCGTTAGCCTCAGCCTGGGCTTGGATGCTGGCATCGGCTGCCTTTGGGAGAGCCTCGAGTAGCTCGTGTCGTGGCGGCGAGGGAGTGAGCTCAACACGAGGGGCGGGAACTGGGCGATCGACGGCATGGACGTGGCCATCGCGGGCGCGGAGCTCCTCGGCGAGGGCAGAGGCAGCAAAAGCGAGGACGTCATCGGGGCGTGCAGTGGCAACCGCAAGAGTCAGTCGCTCCAGCAGAGGACGCAAGCCGCAGGACTCGAGGAAGGACGCCGCCGAGGCCGCCGTCGTTGCCGCGGCAACAGCGCCGGGCGGCGGGAGGGCGGCATGCTGCGGGGGCGGCGAGGGCGCAACAAAGCGCGGACGTCCAGTGCCATCCACTCGAACCCGCGTCGCTGTCGACACCGAGCCCGAGACCGGTGGGAGGACAGCATGGCCAGTCGGGGCGGCAGTGTGGCCGGAGGGGGTGGTGGCACTGCCGCCGGCTGTCGTCGCCGGAAGGTGACCTGGCCGAGGACGGGCAGGCGGGCGTGGGCGGCGGGCGAAGCGGGAGGAGGCTGCGACCCGGACAGGGACCCTGCCACGGGTACTCCTTCTCTCTCGTTGGGGGACCATGCGGGTGAAGTGTGGTTGTGGCGTGTGTGTGTGGGGAGGGGGGGGGAAGGGGGGGGGGGCGATTCGGGCAACGGACGAGTGACGGACGAGTGACGGACGGGCCGCGGACGACTTGGAGGAGGTGGTGGTGATGATTGGCGTTGATCAGAGGGGGTTGCGGGGCGGGGGGGGCGGGGGGGGTGCGTGTGTTGTGCGCCTGTTTATGTGTTGATGCGAGGTCATGTGTCGATGCTGTCCGGGAGAGTGTAGTCGACGGCGTAGTCGGCAGTGTCGTCGGTGGTGTCGGCATCGGTGGCGGGGCCATCGTCGGCGTTGTCAAGGAGAAAGTAGCCCGAGGAGGCGACGTTGAGACCCGGGTGACTCCGAAGGTCAGTGAGTGCAGGGGGATCGGAGGCGGCGGCGATAGGCGGTGGGTGGCGGAGGCGGTGGGTGGCGATGGCGGTGGCGGCGGCGACGGTGACGACGCCGGCGATGATGGATGAGGTCCAGTAGTTGGCCGGCGCACCATAGGTAGCAACGAGTGAGTGGCCGGTCAGCATCCACACGGAGCCGATAGCGAGCGGGGCGGCGGCAAACCAGGCGACAGCAGCCACGCGGCGAGGCGACCAGGGGAGACGGCGCGGGAACTTGCGGCCAGTCCGCGGCAGCGAGTACATGGCGATGTGACCGTGAGCAGCGGCCAGCGGATGGATCGAGAGCCACAGATCGAGCGAGAGCACAACCGGTGGCACCCAGTGGACCCATGCAGTGGCGAGGTAGGCGGCAGTGAGCGAGACGCCCATGTCGGCAGCCTTGCGGGCGAGAAAGTGCGGATCGTAGACAAAGACAAGGAGCGTAGCCAGGACGGCAACCATCCAGGCGCCGGCAAACGATGCACCGTGCATGCCAACGACAAGAGCGCGATACATGGGATAACCTGCGGCGCGATGGTCAGGATGCAGGAGCGGGAGCTCCAGATAGAGCACATGGGTGACCATGAGCCAGAATGTGAGGTTGGTGGTGAAGATGCGCGGGGCGTGGACGGCGACGCCGACAGCGTTGACCAGGTACAGGTAGAACGAGATCCTCCGCACGGCGAGCCCGTAGCTGCGGGCGGTAGCCGAGGTCATACCTGAGGACGTTGTCAGGTGGTGGTAGTGTTGGCGGTGAAGAGGAGGGGGGGGGGGTGGAGATGACCATGGCGGTAGCGATGGGGATGGCGATAGTGATCGATGGCTGTAGTTACCATGAGCATGGGCGTGCATGTGTGTCTGTGTATGTATGGTGGGGGTATATGTGTATAGGGAGGGGCGGGGGTCGGGTCGGGTCGGCTGGCTGGCTGGCTGGTAGGTTGGTGGGTTGGCTGGCTGGATGGATAGATGGCTGGCTGGTTGGTTGGTTGGTTGGTTGGTGTGTTGGCTGGCTGGATAGATGGCTTGATGGATGGCTGGCTGGCTGGCTGGCTGGATGGATGGATGGATGGATGGCTGGCTGGCTTGATGGATGGCTGGCTGGCTGGCTGGATGGTTGGTGGGTTGGCTGGCTGGCTGGCTGGCTGGTTCTGCCCGTAGTGCTCTGTGCCCCTGTCACCACCCACCCCCACCCACTACCTGCTACTCACGGCACAATGCCGCCGTGGCACATCCAGCGACAGAGATGATGGAGGCAGTTTGTTTATGATCACAGCCATGGCTATAGGTACTCATGGTGGCCATCATGATGACCATCAACAGCAAGCATGTACTGACTGGCAGGAGCAGGAGAGTAACCGACTCAGACGTAGATTCCGACAGAGAGCATGATGAAGAGACCAGCAAGACCAAGGGTGACCGAGGCAGCAGCCGCAAGACCAAGCTCAACGGGAAGGCCCTTGGCGGAAGCAGCCGTGGTAACCTGGTGGAGGAAGAAGGCAGCACCAAGAGCAAGGCCAACGACGGCGAGGACAAAGGCCAGCGTGGTGAAGAGCGAGGGAGGGAGGGGCGGCGACCAGGCGTAGCTCTCGCCCGACAGGACCTTCCCCAGCACAGCAGGTACACACGCAGCACACACAATGGCTCTCCGCAGCATTGTCATCCTTCTCTACCTCCTTCTTGTTGCGTAGCGTGAGGTGGTGTCCATCCCCCTCCCCCCTCCCCTC